AATCGTCGTCCGTGGGATTCGAACTCTAGACCTGCCGCTTGGGGGTGCAGCAACCCCACCACTTCACTAGGTCGCCAACTTTTCGACCCAAGACAACAACATTTAATCAATCTAGAAGTAATGAATATTATACTGCGAATGCGATACCCAAATATCCTGCAAAAACCGTAGGAAATGATGAAAATTATCCAAGTAAAGACAAAGGAATCACTGTACGTTTTGAACAAACAATTTCAAACAGTAGCATTCCATTTGTTCCTGATTCAAAAGCATTAGAAAGGGAACAGGATTTCGTAGGATCTGCTAGTGATCAATCTCTTAGTGCTATTGCATCTCAGGGGGAAAGCAGTGATTCAATAGAACTTGTAGTAAATCCTAAACATCATCAGACATATCAATATCAACCATCATTCTGATGAAATCCCTTTTTAAAAAATAGAAGATAACAATGTAACATACTACACAATAATATAGAATTATACTAGCATATTTTTCATGCATTTCAATTCATGTAATTTTATAATACCATATTTTAACTGTTTATCATTATTAAGATTTATACGTCATTATTTCTAATATGTTCTATGTTTTATATTTTGTATATATATACGCTATATTATATTTTTATGTTGCCTATTCTTTTTTATATTATATATATATTTATAATCATTAAATAACTATCGTACACAATAGGCACAAAAATAACATCCAATTATTAATAAAACAAAATTTTATGTATAAACGGATTTCACATTATTTCTGCCCTATTGTTATATACATTAATTTGTTTTTAAACAACCACTTTTGTATATCCAATACTGCCACCAGTTGTACTCATTTGTTTTATTTGTTTTGCAACACATGGAAAAAAAATTTTAAACTCATATTTGAAATAATTTTTTTAATTCCCAATAATTATTATAGCGCTTTGCAAGAAGATGTGACCCAATGATTTTGTCATGATTATCGAGGGAAAGTTCCGATATTCTAAATAGTCTATTAATCGTATTTTATTTGAAACACTTTTACTAAAACGCACCTATGGTGTTTTACCATCTATGTTGCATTATCTTAAAAACTAACTAATTAATTGGTATGTAATACTCTAAGTAAAAATGCTCTACGTCTCCAAAAACCATCCCTAAACTTTAATTCTAGCACAAAATACTAGACTAATATGAAAAATTTGTGCTAAAAATTTTATATAAAAAACATAAAAACTTAGAAAAATATATAAAAACATATACGTAATAGGTGCTTTTATAATAAATGTATTTGAAATTAGCAAAATTCTTAACGTTAAAATCTACAGGATCTTCAATTTACACATGGTATCTTTTTTGCAAAGCGCAATAATGCCAAAATTTTACCGAAATTGAATTGCATGAATTTAATTTATATCGTGATTTTTTCGGGTTCCTCCGTTGCAAATTTTTACCGAAACTGAACTACATTATTTCGTTTATTATTATATCGTGATTTGTCGGTTTACTCCCAGATGCAAAAACATTTGCTTGTTCAATAAACATTTAACAGTATTTGTAACTTTGTGCATCTATAACATTGACAAGTATAAAAGTAAAATTATTTTAAAAATGTGGAAAGATTCCAAAATGACCTTTGGTATTAAAATTGGTCGCACGCACTTTTTAGTCACACAATAATTTGTAATTTGAATTTTTAATAGTTACTTTATATTAAATATTTTAATCACAAATTATCGTGTGATTAAAAGTTCTCTCAAGCATCTAAGTTCATAGGTCGGCTCAATTTTTAATTAGTGGAATATGGTTTAACCGAGTTGAAAAGATAGTCAGGAGACAATCTTTTATAAATAAATAAAACTAAACAAAAAATAAAGTTGAATATTGTGTAAATAACAAACCAAAATATTTTAAGGGAACAGTTATTTCCACACCCCCTTTGATCACGTGCATATTACACAAAGTGTATTTTAGTTAAATGAAGTGTTATATTACATTATCCATTTTGAGCTATATAGAGTATTAGGATCACATATCGATATCGTAATATTGTCATAATTTATAATTATTTACAAGGATTAGAAATGCTTAATAAATAGTAAAAAATTTTATTGGCTGAAATTTAATATCCGCATTTCGCAACATGAATCATCACTTAAATTAATCGTAGTACCTGTACATAAGTACATAAGAATGCTAACGATTCATTCGACTCTATTGATTAATCGATTTTTTATAATAATAAATATACAAGTCGAGTCAAGCCGTTAGCATCCCTACTTGTGCACGATCTCTCTGTGAGAAATTTTATTGAAATATTTCCATTATTTTTTGTGAAAACTCTGACAAACCGAATAATTTCCATGATTTATGGTTATAAATTCCGTGAATATGCACATTAACGGAAAAAAACATGGAATATTAAACACGGATCGACTTTTTTCGATCATTAGCTAATCACATAGAGAGGGGTGCTTGAGACCATCTAGTGTTACAAATTGTCAAAATTGATTAGTTGATAAATTATTTTATTCAACTTTCGATTTTATTCGAATACCAGTAATCGATTAGTTGGCTAATCAATTAATCGATTACTCAAAATTTTAGAGTTCATAGTATTACATGAATATAGTATTAAAAGTTAAATATATTTTATATTGTTCATGTTTAACAAATCTAGTTTCCCTAGAAGTAACAATATATTTGTTGTGCCCCAGATGCAAATCGGCCCAGTTGTCAATCGGGACGGGCCCAGATGACAATTTAATTTTAGGCTATCGATTTTGCCCCAGATGCAAATGGTAGATCATATCTAAAAAGTAAAATAATTTAATCAACATAACAGGTAATACGTAACGATAATAAATTAACAATTATTTCTAACGAATAAATCTTTTTTATAATTTTTTTTAAGTCTAATACGTAGTAAACTACTTTATAAGTTTTGTAAACTTCTTATAAGAACTACTAGTTTATTATAAAAAGAATTGATATGGTATAAAGCTGTATAAGACATTTCACATAAATTCTGATATGTATCGTGAAAGATGCATATCTAATAAAGAATATTAATTACATCATACGTGGTCGGAGTTTAAAAATTATAATAAATAGAAGTTTTTTTTAACTTTTTTTTTTAATGGCTTCTTTTAACGAGTATACCTTTCTAGCACTTCAAACGTTTAATGAAATTATAGATGAATACTTACTATCTTTAAGTGAAAAAAAGAGATCTAAGGCATTACTTACGGAAAATATAGCTGACGAATATTTGCAAATTTTAAATAACCCTCAGAATACTTCTATCGCAACTTCCAATATACATTTTCAAGTTAAAAAAAGTTATTCATGTCAAAGGATTGGTGGAATTTTAATGTTAATGCATAAAGAAAAATCATCAAATATTTGGAAACCCGTAGCTTTAAAAGAGAGATTATACTATATTATTGCAGAAGAACATCTGGCTATTAGACATGGGGGTGCCAAAGCTACTTATAAACAAGTATCAGATAAATATCATGGTATAAAAAGATGTTTGGTTGACAAATTTGTTGAAAAGTGTAAAACATGTAAAACATGCAGAATATTTATTATACCTTTAGCCATAAAACCAATTATTAGCAAATTCTTTATACAATGGCTTCAGGTATATATAAGTTAAATTTATATTTTCATTTTATTTATTATTTAATACATAACTAATTTTTTATTTTTTTTTTTATTAGATCGATCTTATAGATAGAAGGGATAGTGAATTTAAGTAGATAGCACATGCCAGGGATCACTTTTCATGTTTTTCCTGAGGTTGCATACTTACTAATAAATGTGTAGCAAAAGTGGTTCTTGTTTGACATCTTTATTGTATTTGGACCACCAATCTTTTTACAGAGTAACAATGGGTGTGAGTTCATAGCAAATATCATTAACAATCTCTCAAAGCTCTGGCAAAGTCTTAAAATAATTTATGGGAAGCCACAAAGGCCACAAATACAAGGTTCAGTAGAGAGGGCAAATTTTGTGTTAAAGGACAAACTTGGAAAGTGGCTTGAGAATTGTCAAAACAAAAATGAAGAATTATGTTAGACAGTTGGCTTAGCAACCATAATTCATTCAATGAATTTATCTGTATGTTGTGCTACTAACAAAAGACCATTTGAGTTAGTTTTTAGTTATGAATCTCATGGAAATTGTGTTCTTATAGATGAACTCTAGTCTCAAGGTATTTGGTATAAAGAAAATATTCCTAATAATGTTTAAATCGAAGATTTCGATGACATCCAGTTTGATGACAATGAAGAGAGCACACAGGTTGAGGATAGTGAATATAATGCTGAAAATGGGAGATTTAATAAACAAAGCGAGGAAAGGGTGTGGCGACCTAGTGAAGTGGTGGGGTTGCTGCACCCCCAAGCGGCAGGTCTAGAGTTCGAATCCCACGGA